CTCTCACTCAAAGTAGTAGAGCGCAGAGAAGAAGTGGTCATGTATGAATTGTACATTTATCACACCGTATCTGAACGGTCTCTTCTTTTTCATGATGTCACCCTGTAAGTTAAATTTAAGTGTTCAGAAGAAAACATTTTGGAAGTATGGAAATTACAGGTAACTGAAACAGCTGCATTATACTAGGCAGCTAAAGTGGCTTCAAAATATAAGCTCTTTGATCCACTGAAATTTTTAAGAATTCAGACAATATTATTCTGATACTAGTTTTTACAAAAAAGGAAAAACATGCTCTTTGATAAAACTTAGTATTTGATTGCAATAATGGGTAAATAATATGTATAAGAAATACAGGAAATTGAAATCAGGTAGCTCAGGACACTTTCAGAATTATGAACAGAGTTGTTTTGGCAACATACTAATTCTTAAAAAGAATTCTTAGTAACACAGTATATCTTAAAAGAATTCTTTGGCTAATCTTCTCTCTTTTAGCTGCGGCATGAGGACCAATTCTCCCTTAACTAAAAGTATATATGGTGCAAAGACACGCACTATGAAACCCTGCCCCCTACCCAGCAACTCAAAAAAACAATCTTTAATATTAGGCTCAAACCTGCAGAAGCATGACTAGAATAAGATGAGTTTTCAAAGTACAAAGTAATTTTGAGGAAAGGAGAATGGGAAAGTCTGGAAGCTGTATCTTCTTTAGAAAAGCCACTATTAATGTGCTCCGGCATGTAAGAAGAGAAACAAAAGAGGAACAGAAGAGCTGAGAAAAATCAGATACCAAAAGTATGTGGTTCTCAGCATTCTTCCACATCCCCTTTTGGATGGGTGCAGGGAGGTTTAGTTTTTGCTTGTTTTGTTCAGCTGGACCTTAGTGACTCACATCAGTAGTACTAGATGGCATGAGCTTTTGTTCTAGCTGGTCCAACCAGCTTGTATGACGTTATGCAGTATCCAGAGACTGGTTTTCACACAATCAACATACAGAGCTGTAATCAGTGCCAGTAGATGTATGTCACAGCAGAAACACTGATCTCCTTACAGTACTTAAAGATTATAATCCTTGATATGGTGTCTTCAGAAAAGTTTAGCTATTTATTAGAAGAATATGGAAAAAAAGACCTGCACAACATTTCACTATTTTATTTGCATGATTTACACATTCAGAACTGCCTATTTTTTTTTCCACTCCTTCTCCATTTGGTATCTTAAACATCCTCAGAAAATTGGGTTTTAAAAAACTTGTATCTGAAGTGTAAACAAGGGGACAGGTTTATAGTACATCTGCATCTTCTCCTAGGATGGAATTTTGTGCCCAGTCATGGGCTACCCTTATGCAAAGGTGGGGAGAAAACAAAAACCAAACCACTAAGAGCTAGCAAAACCAACTCAAAGGTCAGTTTCCCACAGGGCTGTTGAAACCAACTGATGGCATAACAAATGCTGTAGATTTGTTATCAGATAGAAAATTCCCTTCCCTTCCAGGGAGAATCATGAAATTCCATGCTAATACTAAGTAGGATGTGGCCATGGAGCTGAATAAAACCACACAGATCTTTAGATATGTGTAAAATAAACACATAAGGTGCAAAATAAAGTATTTTGCTGACTGCTTGAGATTTTAGAACTTCTTGCCTTGTCAGTGAAGAATTCTGCTCTGGGCATCTTTACATAGTCAGCCGCAGGCAGGCAATTTCTTGTGCTTCAGAAGGTTTGTCAATGTACTAGCATGGAGCCAAATTTGAGAAGACAGGCTTTTTGTTCTAGCAGAGTTTAGGCTCTGAACTGCTCACACATAGCCCTTAGACATCCAGACTTCAGCTGGCTAGTCCACTCAGCTCAGAAGTTAGGTGCTGCAAGCTCACAGCTATACGCACCAGGCAAGCACATCACAAGAGGTTCAAAGTTTTTCTGCTTTTGTGCAGTTATAATCCATTAATACATTTACAATCTAAGTGTACAGCAGAAGTCTTATATGTCATATAATGCTATGCAATGACCCCACAAATCTTGACTGATGCTTCTTTTTACTTTGGAGGTAAACAGTTTTCTGATTCTTAGTCTAGAGACTTTAGATTGCATGAGAACATGTTTACTGCACATGCATCAAAAGCTTACTTTTACAAACGACAAGCATAGTCCTTTCGAGTATGATCAACAAACAGAGACACATGTCAGCCTTGAATGGTATTTGGACTGGAGTTGATGAAAAAAGACAGGAAAGAAAGGATGAAAGATTATCCATGTCCCTCTAGAATCAGTAAAGAAATACATTGCTCACAAACAACACCAAAAAACCCCATTATTTGTAAGCAATATAAAGAACAAAAGGGAACATCTAACAGTTAAGCATAAGTGGAAAACAATGTCTTGAAAAGAAAAAAGGAGTTTAGATATAGGATTACCTACAACTACCTCTCTCCTTCTTCCCCCAAAGGCCACATTTTTCTTTTGTCTGCTTGTTCGGCATCACCCCTCCTCACAACAATTCCGGGTTTTTTTTGGTCTAGACTCTTAAGTTACTTAGAATATTTCCAGCTCTAAAGAAATAAGTAGACTTCGACACAGCAGAAGACAGTAAGTGCTGTTACTAACCATTCAATCAGAACACCTTTCAGAACGTTCACCATCTTCTCACTTCTCTTACAAGCGCTGAAAGGAAGAGGTGACAAGAACCGACTCTTGCCTTGGTTTACACGCGTAAACAAAGGACACCTGAAAGAAAAAGAAACAACGCCGTGGTTGAACCCAGCGATCCTTCAAGACAACTCACCTCCCCGGACCAGCAGCGCTGCCCGGCTACTAGGCCGAGCGGCCGGGGGCGTGGAGAGGCGCGCAGGCCCAGGCCGGGGCAGCAGGGCCCGCTCAGGCGTGGCACCGAGCTGTGAAAATTAAAGTCCTCTCCCCTCACCCCTGAGCGCAGTCAGGGCAGCTCTGCCCCCCCGCCAGCCCCGCCGAGCTCCTACAGCGGCCCGGGCCGGGTAACCGGCCCTCCGCCC